ACAATGCTTTAAAAAACTACTTTTAGATAAAAGCACTCGATGATTATGTCTTTATATTATTAAAACTCATTGCATGTCGTATTTGTGTGTTCTTAAGCGGTCTCTTTTAGGGGTCAAAATTTGCTTAAGCCACGCCTGGATTGGTCTCCTTTAGGGGTCACAAAGAGCTTGAGCCACGCCCCGATGGTCTCATTTAGGGGTTAAATTCAAAATTTCCGACGAGCATCCCCGCCTGTTTCATATGTGAGTCCCCCCCCGGGGCATTTGGTTGTGCTTCGGTCAGAGGTCACGTTTTTTCGCCCGTTTTTAGTGTAATATTTACATTTGCTTGACTTTGTCAGCGCTCGTGATTTCATTTACCCAAAAATTTTATTTCGCTAATTTGAAGAAAAAAGAATGCTCTTTCAGACTACACAAGCCTTGGTCTTCAAAGCCATGTACCAATCCGCTTTTTTAGCTCGTGAAAAAGTGCTAAATTTTGACGGTTGATTAAGCGATTTTGAGTCAACAACTTTGAAAATTTCTTTAAAAATCTCTTGTTGACCAAATCGCGAATTAATCAGTTAAAATTATAGAGGAAAGATAGTAAAAATACGAAGTGTCATTATATTTTAGTTGCCAACTTTATTGCCATCTTGATTTTTGCCCATTTTAGGCCTCGGGAAGAAAAAAAATTCGTTAAAAAAATATTATTCACTCGATCGTACTTAAACCAACGATTTTGTAACTAGGGCCCATAGGGCTTTATTCTGGCTGAGTTTGAGGCCAGGTCATTTTTTGACTATTTCCACGTCTAGTTGATATTTACGCGGAGCCGCTCTTAATACCCCGAAGATTTATTGGTAAGAGGATACCTTAAGGAACAAAAAAGGCGATTCTTACCCTGACTACAGCTCCAAGATCAGCTTTTCGTATCTCTCTTTCGATGTTCGTCCAGTAATATTTCCTTTAACCTGACTCGACCTAGAAACAACACCGCCCGAATCAGACCGACAATGAGCCAGCCTCAGGAATCTTCTCTATGTATGCCACATGAAATGCCCCGACAGGTTTCCTGCGGGAAGCAGACGCTTTTATCGATTCTTGTTTCACCCGCCGAGAAGGGAGAGAACTGTCTAAACAATTCACCTTAAGTTCAGTAAATCAGTTTTCAGGGCTCCTGGTCTAAAAATGCTCCAGCGATTGAAAATATTCCCATTATGATCACCAACAGTTGTATTCTTAAGCGCTTCATCTTAACTGCGCACTGATTCAGCCATTTTATTAAACTGAAGCATAGTGAGTTGTGTGCTGTAGAACTCGCTGCAATGCGGTGCGCGTGCGTTTAATGGTCACACGAAACACGCAGTAAAAAAGACTAAATTTTTCTACAAGTCAAGAAGTTCGCAGTTGTGTTAACGTTTTAAACAATATGAGTATATCGAGTTTATCTGAATCTACAAACCATACTCTTGCAATACTCGTCACACTTGCAAAATTCTCCTTAGCCTGCGTAGCAAGCGTTTCCAAGCGGTTTAGGAACACGGCCATAACCGAAAATCCCGTTTCTTGGTCTTTCTTTGCCCCCAACCCAAACGGAAACGCTTGCTACGCAGGATAAGCTAAGATAAACATGACGAACAGTTTAACTCCATGTACACTCCATGTAAGAACACACGAAAGGACTCCAAGGTCTGCAGCCCTCTGATTGGGCAGAGAAACACAGAAGTTTTCTGGCACCAATCAGAAGCCAGACAGGCCGCCACCCTTTAGAACTGGTCTGGTAAGACATTGTCCCCAGGGGCTCTTTCCCCCGTTCTTTACTTTTCTTGACGCCATTTTTTTCCACCCGTTTGAGACTTTCCCTTGCCCCCACTATCTGCCCCTGGGTCTCCGAGGATGAGTACAACAAACCAAGAAACAAAACTAAAATTACTGGCCTGTGGCTAGCTGGATACTATTAGTCTCAAGCCCTGAGTAACTTTGGTTAAAAGAAATAAAGAGAAGCTCTGAATGACTGAATAAATGCAAAGACGAATGGATGAATGAATCAATAAATCAATGAACGAATCAATGAATGAATGGATGGTTGGGATGAATGAATTAATGAACCAGAATGAAGGGAGAAATGAAAAGGGAGGAAAGGAGAGAGTCAGTCCATTAAAGATCAACAGAATGACTAATTGGCAGACTGGGCCAGAAAGAACAACCTAACAAGCAAAGTCAATTTTAGAATTTGAACAAAAAGTAAAAGTAAAATAGCCCAGATGCACACTGCAGATATTTTTTCTTTGCTTCTTTTTTATGTGAAGTGAAAGAAATAGGATATGTCCTCTCACATAACAGGTGAATGAACAAATGATACCTTTTGCAATCTCTACTTGCTCTGTTTCACTTTCTTGCATGTTTTGTAAGGATTCTGGCAATTTAATAATGCACATCACGAAGCATTAAGAACGGTCACGGCATGGCTTTATAAACTGTAACATTAATACAAAAAGTGGTCTCTCCATAAGCCAAAGTATATAGATAAAGGTTTTGACAATTTTTAAAATACTGCATCGGAAATTCAGGCCGTAGAGTTTCATTTGGAAGAAATGAACATGGCTGAAACTGTTAACTTTTAGTGATCCATAGGCCATCCTGACTGGACTGCTAGTTCCAGGGTCAGTTAAATTCTATTCTGACGAAACTAAATGCAAATGTTACTAGGTAAAAAAGTTTTATTTCATGGCCAACATGCCCTAAATGTACATCTACTACAGTATTCTTCAAAAAAAAAAGGACAGATATGTTGCCCGATACTTGTCTTGCTTTTATTACAAAGTATATTGCGATCGCGAGAATCATGGAAAGCAGCGTTTGCAATCCGTTCTTGTTATTGGGCTGCCTAGTGGCAAAAGCCAACGCAATCGACAAATGGAGGCCTTATAGTCTGTGCTGCGAAAAGACAATGAAAAACGGATCAAGTTACGTTTCCCGTCCCCCCTACGCGACGATGAGGCAACTTTTTGATTATCAGGGGCAACCTAATTCCCAGGGTTCTCTCCTACCAGAACCTAAGAACAAGGTTGTATTGGAGGGAGGGTGGGACACTTCAAAAGAAAATTTTGCAAACAGTTCTTGCGTGAGGGTAAGGGTACTATTCCTATGTTTAAACCCCTAAAAACAAGAAAAAATCAGATGGGTGATGAGTTTCTTTTAAGGTTTTTCTTCACTTTATCTTGAAGTTTAAACTTTTTGATAAATGTTTTCCCTTTCGAAACTTGATTGCAAATCTCCCTCTGTTTGTCGACCGCTGCGTGCATCCATTGAATGAGAATGTCTCTGAAGCTATCGTATGGCGCTCTATTCCTTGCCTTCTTCAAAAGATGGTAGGATGAGCCGCTTTTGAGGTTTGCTTACACTTTACGAGAAAGCTTTCTCTCCCAACATGTGACAGAAAAATTCCCTCTGAATGAACCCCCCGAATTTCGGGGGTCTTGTTCGAGTATAAAAGTAAGAAGAAACCTGGAAAGCTTGCATCTTTAGCACTCCGTCTTGTGAACCTTCTAAGTTCTGATTCTTTCTTGTTTCCAGTCCTTCTTTTCTTGAAAAATTAACACAAAGGACCCGAACAACGAAAGCACATTGTGTGCACATGCCAGCTACCGCCTGCTGATTGGCTAACAACGGTCACGCGGGAGTGTACTCTACATAACATGATGTTACAGTTTTTGAAGTTGGATCGATAATTTTCCTGCATATACACTTCTTCGCGCGGCATTATGTTCTTCCAACTTTTCCAGCCTTCCGTCTTCAATCGGCTGGCGACAATGTTGATAACAACAATGATGCATGAGGGCTTATAATACGGAAGTGCTAATTATGGCATATGCGGTGTATCCACGTGCTCCGACACAAGCATTAAAAGAGTTGATACAAATTCTCTTGGAAAATGGCGGAGAGTTAGAACTCGGGGATGCAGTGCAGGAACTTTCTTCACAAAACCGTAGTTTAGTGTTACATTACGGAGCGTTTGAATTCGTACATAGCCATCCGGAGCTCTTTAAATGTGAGGAAGTCAGGACGCTGCGGAAACATAAATCGAAAGTAGTTATAATATTGAATGTCCCTTTAGAGTTTTGCTTTGAAGCTGGAGAGAAAGGTGGATGTGTTACGAGGAAATGTACTCGCCTTCATTTATGTCCTTTTTTTATCAAGGGAAACTGCAAGTTCGGTGTAACTTGTAATAGATCTCACAGTTATGAAGACGAACATACGGTTCGGGTTCTTAATCACTTCCGCCTCGGTTTCTTATGTTCTTCCTCGCTTTTGCAAGAGGTTTTGGAAAGGATCGTAGAGGAAAGCGAATTACAGCGAACTGCTGCCAAACGATCTGTACCGGATATCTGCAAATTCTACAACAAAGGTACATGCATGAAAGAGGATAACTGCCCCTGGTTACACGTGTGTGAATATTTCGTTGCTGGAAAATGTAAATTTGGCGAGGGCTGCAAAAGGGATCATGGTTTCTCTGACCCACATAACATTAGAATACTAAAGGAATATGACATGGAAAGGATTGGTGACTGGAAAGTGCTTCAGTTGTTGAACGGTAAAGAAAGAAAGAATGAAATGAGTAGAAGTTTTGATTCTCAGACGCCCCATGAAGGTTCTCTTTCATCAGCAAATTTTAGTGCTTCTTACATGAACTTTAAGGATGACAACGAAAGGGCTACTGAGATTTGTGGATTTAATCTGCGTAGCAAATGTAACTATGGCAACAGCTGTATCCATCGCCACACAGAGCTACCTTACTTGTGGGAATTTACAGTAAATGGTCGCAACTGGGAGAGTTTTCCAAATGATGTGAATACAGCACTGGAACAGTCGTACTGTAATGTTCAAAATGACATTTTTTCCATGCGGATCAGAGGTATTCTTTATCGTGTTCAGTTTACTGACATGACTGCTGTACCAGTACCGAACGCTGGTAAGTACCTTGTGCTCTCATTGTACAGAACGGTAGACGCCCTCCAAAAACCTCTATTAGGTGCCATTTCTCTCGCTTTTTCGTTTTTTTCCTTCACAACATTTTATATTTTTTTTCATCTAAGAAAGTAACACTGGTGAAAGAATGGTAGAATACATGACAGTCCTTCCTCTCCCGTAATATATTTATCTCAAATTGATATTTCTAGCAGTATAACATTCAAACGGCGCTACAACAAATTAAATATGCCCTACTCCCCACTTAAAGAGGTTTCATGGTATATTAAACGAAATAATGGTTTTTCGTGGAAAATATTAGAACGGACGCAACTTAACAAAGTTGCGGTTGTGTTTTATATCCACTTTTGGCTGAAATGCAAAAATTTGGTTTGATAAACTGAGATCAGGCGATAACGTTACTTAATCTCAATTAATCAACACTCGGTATCAAACTTGGTATCAAATGTTGCTGGTTCTTTTTCCTTGTTCCCATACTTTTGTTTCAGTTTTAAAAGAAAAAAAATGCTTTCCATAATTAAGATAAAGAGAAGATAATCTATTTAACGACAAATACACAGGAAGTGATTACCCTGTCTCCTGAGCCGGAGGCTCATGCAGAAATCGATCGACAGTTAAAAACTAAGAAGTAAGATGGCTAGAAATCTCAAACATGTTAAGTAGAGTCAATGCCGCATATCAATATATATGTTGTAAAAGGGAGTTGATACCATGGCCAATAGATAAGTGTTGACTTCTTGTTAACCTCAAGACCTGGCCGGTTTCGGGCTATCAGCACAGTAAGAGACTTGCGCACACTCAAGTCCTGATCACATTTATCGTTTATTGCTAAATCAAGGTGCTTTTATACAATTTGGTAGCTAAATCATACTTGGGTAAATATGGAAGGGAATGCATGTGGTTTCTGTAGAAAAGCATGCATAATACAGTATTTAGCACGTGATTTCTATCTTGTATAAAAATCCTCAAAGTTGACTTTTATTGTGACATGGCGTTTACCATAGGTTCTGAAGATGTTGGAGCGCAAAAGTGTTCATCGTGACTTTTAAAATACCCTAAACTGCCGCTTATAATCCCCCCCCAGTTGTAGACTCATCTGCCTGTAAACAAAAACACATCTGGTTATAAGCCCGGCTCCCCCAGATACAAGCCCCTCCAGCTTGTTCCGAGCGAAACGGGGTTTATAAATTTGTCGCGTGCAGCGCGCGCCTCGCGCGATAATCGCACAGCGAGGCAGAAACTCGAGTTGCGAATATTTCTATAGATCTCTTGGGTGTCCGCAGTTGACGTCATTCAGATGTGACGTCAGGGGGCATTTTAGCGTTGCCAGGCAACGCTACTTCGAGTGCGAATGTAAATGTGTGGTGCACTATCATGTTTTATTCAAAATTTCGTCTCACTTCGGCTTTGTACCTGGCGTCAAAACCTTGCTTTTCCCTAAAATCTGTACCTTCGAATTCATGTTACACCGAGGCAAACCAACAATGAATTGGTTCTTTCCTTGCCGACCGATGTGACAGATTGACCAAAATAAAGGCTGGTTTCAGCTCCGTACATCCATCCGCCGTTGAACCCAAGAGTGAATAAAGGCGGATATAATGCAAAATGACTTTGAAATACGCCTTTAAGTTAATCTTCCTCAAATGTATCTTTAAATTCATGATAAATACAGCAACACTGGTTTCAGCTCCGTACATCCATACGCCGTTGAACCCGAGAAAATTCATGATAAATACAGCTCCACCAACTTCAAACAGCGTTCACGGCAGAGAAAAATGCTTCAAGTATAATAATTTTAGCGTATCATTCATTCAGTGGCTGCGTGGCGCAGTGGTCAAGGATCTAACTTTGATTATAAGAAGTTCGGAGGAAGAGATACTTTTAAACTTTGCGCATTATTTTTTTTTCAGTTTTTTGATGTTTTTTTCCCTTTGGCTTTTTTTTCTTTATTTTTCCTGCTGATCCTTTAAAGCTTCGCAAGGATTTTGAGAAATCGTATTTCTAGTATTGAAAAGAATTCGATTTCGTACGACATTCTGAAGCTTAAAAAAGCGAGTAAATTCAAAAAGCATTTTGATCAGCACTGCTATGCAGCTTGTTTTAAAACTTTTTTCCCGGTCATAAACCGGTCCGGATATAACCCCCCCCAACTTCAAGACGTGTGATTAGGTACCAGCGATACCTGAGCTAATACACAATTTTCCGACTTCCTGTTCCAAACGGAAAGAAAGGAGTCATCTTTCCAGATCAGAGGCACTTAGCATTCACATAAGAAAACCAGAAATACCAAAGCGGTTGAAGAAGAACTTGATCGGGAACTCACAATGGCCTGTTCAATGAAGATAGCGTCTCGTGCGGATCTTCGCAAAGGTCAAACCTGAATTTTTCAGGTTCTTTTTCAACCGCTTGCTATAGGTTGTTCATTCTGCTGAGAGGATCATGTTCAGTTTCATGAATTTAATGATGTGAAAAATACAAAAGTTCAATAAACTAGCTACTTTGTGTAACAATTTAGGTTTACGACCTTGGTCAGCTGTGAACTCCAAGCCTTTTAAGATTCGTCGTCTGTCCACTGTGTCATCGGTGGTTGCAGCAGCAGGCCACGTGTTCAGCACCAGGTGGCATTGGTACTGGCAGGATGAAAATAACAAGTGGCAGTCGTACGACACTCCAACTGGTGCACATGATGTTAACACCACCACCAGCCAATGTCTTGAGAGAGAATACATGGCAGGTATGAGTTAACGATCCCCTATCATTCCGTAAATAATAATTTATTCCCCTTATCCTGATAGAGCTGTCTCGAATTATTTCTTTCATCACGAAGATAACAGATGAAGTCCCTCCTCAGGGATCTCGCAGCATTTAAATGGAGGAAAAAAGGGACCACAACTTCCAACCAATTCTAACAAGGCCTTGGCAACTGATTTTTGCAATACCATGTCCCAGGAATTTAGAGGAGACTAAAAGTGTTTGGAGCACAAACAAATAAAGTGATTACCTACAAATGATATGTTCATAATCGAAGTTAGCCGGTTATAAGAACTATTCCCACTAGCAATAAGGTTTGGCCGGTTAATGCGTTGACCGCAAGTAGATTGAGTTATTCTCTTGTTAGAGTGTTCGTGAAAAAATGGTTTGAGTGAATACAGTATAAAATAAAATTCCTCATGGGTAGGGCTTGGTGGTATAAATGAAAATTGCTGTCGACACCTCAGTGCTTGTTATTGTGAAGCAAAATAGTAAAAACGTTGATATGTTTGTTTCTCTTTGTGACTTAATTGTGTGGGATATGCCTCATACTTCAAAATTTCCAAGACTACTGACAAGAAGTCACGGGCGGTTAATTATGTCTTTAATTTACTTTTGTCTGAAGTCTTTTTTTTGCACAAGATGGCAACATCGATGAAAATATGTTGACTGTCGTTGATTGTTTTCCCCAGGTAACGATTGCCATTCCTTCACTGTGCTGCACCAGCGCTACACTCTATACTTCAAAGGATGGTACCAACAAAATGATGTTTATAAAACTAAAAGGCCCGTTAGAAGGAGGCCTGCTGACTTTGTGACCAAAGGGAATATGCACGATGTTGCTCAAAGGTGTTTAGCTTATTTAAATATATAGCTAAAATCTTGAAGTATATTCAATAAAACTAAAAGGCCCGTTAGAAGTAGGCCTGCTGACTTTGTGACCAAAGGGAATATGCACGATGTTGCTCAAAGGTGTTTAGCTTATTTAAATATATAGCTAAAATCTTGAAGTATATTCATAAGTAGGTGGAATATGATAGTTTGGGTGAGCTACGTAGTCCTGAATAATTGTTGAGAGTGACTAACGTTTCGATAACCTGTCATGTCTGATGGTGGTTTTGGCTCATCCTCTGAGATTTCTTGGATATATAATTTGCTTAATAGGTCTTTAACCACTAATTGGTAAGCATGAGCAAGCTTCTTATCTCAATTTACTTATTTTAAGTTGTGCGAAGGTGCTTTTCTGCCATCTGTCGATTTGGCAGTATTACAAATTCTGGTCTTCCATTTTTCCAAGGTATGGTAACATCACGCCTCTCAACATCAAAACTGATCGACTGGTTCACTTTTTCAGTGGTTATTTTCTCTTCGAGAAAAGTGGTCGCTCAATCTGCGGTGTGATCGCAAGGGTCTCAAGGAGTCAAAATTGTCTCAGTAAATAGTTCAGTTCTCCATCATTACTCTCTGACCTCTGCATACGATAGGCATTGAGGTACCCAATTTTAATTGCGCCCTGTCCGTCAGACTTACCAATAGTACTACTGGCTGTCCACCCTGATGGACACAGTCTGGAACTGGGCAGTCTTTGTCGCTTCCACGAACCTCTTTCATTGGAAATAAAGGTTGTAATAATCCGAGTCAATTAGACCATTGATTAAAGTTTACCCCTTTTTCCAAGTCGAGGAAAAGGAAAGTTCCTCAAATGTTCCCATTTGTCTTTGATTTCACCATTTGAATTGTTTGTTTCATCATCCTTGAAAAGTCTAATTAGGGGTGAGCCTAGCCTGAGTATCCTCTCCCCTAGCCCCTTAGGAAGGCCTGATACCCAGGCTAGGGTGAGCCTATATATTTAGTATTTATTTCTTATTTAAGTCATTTTATTTTCGATTAATTTATTTCGAGAGTACTGAGTAGGTAATTAGATAAGTGAACTTCTTTTTATTATGTTATTTATTTTAAGTTGCAATCTGCAAGGCTTTGTAAAGTGTTGTGTTTTTGCTATTAAGAGATATGTTTATTCATGTACTTGTTTTGCCCCGCCACGACTATCTTTCCAGCTATTTGCGTGGCAAGCTATTTAACTGCTAGTGCATAAATTGTTTCAGGGGCACCCAACGTCAGTTTTTCGGAAAATATCTCTTCGGAAGACGATTAGAAATCTAGAATTTTCGGAACGTTTGTTGAAAATTTCTTGCTCGCTTGCCTCTCCTAGGATTTTCGAACATCTAAAAAAAAAGTATAATTGCCCATTTTCAACGGATTTTTACCCTAAAAAGCTCACCTAGAATTTTGGGGAGCCTTTTTTCTGGCTGAAATTTTCGAAAAGGAAAGTTTTGATCCCTATAATTTTCGGATCACTAGACTTTCAGCTAGGAAATCCGAACAGATGAAAAATTTTTAGGGGATACAAATATGCCAATATCTACCGTTTAAATACTAAAATACGTTTAACAATGCTATGTTAAAGTGGTTTTGAACTGTATTCTCGTTGGGTGCCCCTGTTGTTTATTGTTGTTGTTGTTGTAATGGAAGTATAAGCGACGCGGCCTTATTTACTTTGTTCACCTCTAAGCATAGTTCAGTGTGTATTGTTCTTCAATCGACCATTTAAGACTCAATCTCGAATATCGCAGTTGAAGACGGTAACTTTAATCTCAAAAGACGTCAATGACAACATATTGCCAGGTTAACTTTTGACTCATTTTAATAGCTGTTTTACGTGAATTCTCCCAGGCGCAGGACAGCTGCCCAAGTCCAGTCACGGAGAAACTCGGCATCGGCAGAGCCTGATGGTCCACCATCACACTGGTGCCCTGTCCCTGATGGCAAGGACTACGTGTGTGTACCACTGAACCCGATGCATTTTGAATACAACAAAGCAGATAAGTTTTTTCGAGAAACTATGCGGGATGTTCTTCCCAACGTATTGAAAATAGAACGAGTGCAGAACCCAGATTTATGGACCTTTTACAACCAGTAAGAACGTAACTAGCTTTATCGGTAGTTTGAACTAAAAATAGGAACTCCTTACTTTAAGAAAGGTCTGAAAGAGGATCATAATACACACATGTTTGCGAACTTGAGCTTCAAATTTCTTAGCAGCCGTAACAAAAACTGGAAGGCGTGGTATCTCGACTCCTCGAAGTTGGAATTAAAAACTCGACGCACTCAACCTCTTTTGCTGTGTGAAAAACGTCATGTCTATTGCATCCACACCGAGAGAAACCAAAATTTAGATTTCCAAGAAACAATAAACAATGAGAATTTCTTAGTAAATTAGTTATCCTGAGCATGTTTGCAGAGGAAGGCCCACAATAAACAAGGGCAAAGTTTAAATGCCGAACTTCAGTCAAATTTGGGGCCGCCTCGATTGGGACGCCAATCGACGCCAAACATAATTCGGTTAATAAAGGTTACTGAGATTTGGGGTCTGAACCAGTCCAAACGGTTCTCATTTGGAGTTGCTGGCCAAAAGTTATAACTTTCTAAGTAAAGCATTGGTATGCAGGAGCTTGGGGTATTACCTTTACCCTAAAAATAGCCCGACCTTCGCGGGGCACGGATGACCACCTAAAATCCAGCGGGGACGTAAAAGTAGTGTCTTTAATTAGTAATTTGCCTAAATACATCGATAATTGAATAATCGACATTTTTTTTTGTCTTTTCAGGAAAAAGAATCGCATGGCTAAAAAGGCTGGTAGGGCTCCCGAAGAGCGCTACTTGTTCCACGGAACAAAGCCCGACACTATTGATGCCATCTGCCAGCAGGGTTTTGACTGGCGAATGTGCGGCAAGCATGGCACAAAGTATGGGAAGGGAAGCTATTTTGCTTGCAGTGCTTATTATTCACATCACTACACTGCCAATCAGGATACACCTCGTTCTTACAAGCATATGTTCCTGGCTAGAGTATTGTTAGGTTCCTACACTAATGGTGACAGTTCGCTGACTCGTCCACCACCCAAAGACCCCACAAACCCTAACATTCTGTTTGACTCGTGCTGTGATAATAAGAGCAACCCCGCGTTATTTGTTGTGTTCGAAAATGGCCAGTCGTATCCAGAATTTTTGATCACTTATATCTGATTTTCAAAGGTTGACGGCCTGATCTTAGTGGTTAGCTTTAGTGGCGGGGTTCATTAAAGGGGTTGTGTCACGGCAGTCCAGTTCATTTTGTTTAATTTTGCCAATTACTCGCCCTAAATCGCTATGGAACTTAAAGTAAGCAAAGAAATTACATGTAAATGACAAAATAAGAGATCCGAGACAAACAAATATTTCTCCTGAGCATTGTTTTTGAAGTTGCAAGCAGTAGGGATCAACTTTGAAAAACTGTTAGGGTAATTTCAATCCGTTTCAATCCTCTTCAGTTTTGCCTATCCGTGACATCTTATGTTATGTTATTTTAACCTTCCTTTAAAGTTTTAAGCTTTTATTTTCATGTTTCTTTTAATTTAACGGGCATTTCGGAATTTCCTAATTTGGCTGAATTTCGTGACACAGCTCCTTTGATGTATACGTTTTTGTATCATGACGTCGGATACTAGCATTGTACCCAGGGGCGTACCGAGTGAAGGGGGTTCAAGGGTTTCCAGAGTTCCCCTTTTCTTTCTCAAATGTCAGATAAAATGCTACTGTGCCTGCTCCTTAATTTGAAATACACATCGTGTTAACAATAAGCCATTTGCCAACCACAAATACATGGGCCTGCGGCCTGCAGTATGACAGGGTACTACCAGTTATTTAACAATTAATGAATGAGGATGAGTATCTTATGAAGAATTATGGAGATCGAGGAGGGTGTTATCCGTCGAGACCGTAGGCCGATGCGGATAACACCCTCCGAGATCTCCATAATTTTTCATATGATACGAAAGCCGAATTCAATAATTGTTTTATTATTCATTCAAAATAATTCCTAGTTTAAAAATAACGCTAAAACATGCTTACCTCCTTCGATAGCGCACGTTTAGGGTTGTTCAGCTCCGCAAATATTCTCCAAGTAACAGATGTCGCCATTCGAGTTGTGTTCTTGTTGTTCTTGCCATGTTTTTAGCTATAATTTCGCCTAGTTCTTACTCTTGAAACGAGTGAAATGTCCGCCATTTTTTGTTTTCACAACAAAAACAACTCAACCTCGTCCCCAGGTCTTCTCGGTTAACGGTGCCTTGACTTGCAAGAATGCTGCACTTTTGAAGTCATTTCCTCGTTAAACACAAAATTCTTCCAAATTTGGTCATCAGCCACTGGTTATGGTGAATTATGTGTGTGCTTTTAGCCAATCAGAATCGGGGAAATATTTTGAATGAATAATAATAAGTGTAAAAGCCTCCTACATCCACTTTATATATCGATACAGTTGATTCTTGATACACTTGAAGAGACGAATAAGAATCTGACTGTGTATTATTACTTTAATAAATAGTGGTTAAAGATCTCTCTATTCTTACTCACTAATAAGAAGTGAATTTTTATAATGCACAACTCAGTTTGTATAGCCTTGGATGCCAATTGCATCAGAAACGTGTGCCGATAGACGTGTTTCAGTGACGGAAAACCAACAAGCATTCTTTTATGCATCCTGCACTCTTATGGGCTGACGTATTCACTATCGACGGGGATGTGATAGAAGCGAATAGCGAACCGGCGTTTTGAACAAAATCAAAGCAAAGAACAACTTCTTCCAATTGTTTTTTCGATGCTTTTGAAGAAGAAGCAGGTAGACACCACCAGAAAAAACTTGGGCCAAAAAACACGCGGAATGAATATTTTTCATTCAGATAGGAAGTAAAACTGAAGTCGTTTCTTTAGTGCTTTGCGGGATAAAAAAATTCAAGTTGAGGTTTCCAACGGGTTACCTCTTTCAAAAGAATAAAAAAAAAAAACAAAATGAAACAGAAGAAAGAGAAAAAATGATAAACTAAAACCAAATCGGCATCGCAAAGCCAAGTGTTACAAAAATGACAACTTCTTTTACAATTGTCGACAAAACGTTAGGAAATCATTCACAACGGCAAAGCCAAATGACCTAGATAGGAAAGATACTTAGTAAGTTGAATAAATTTGTCTTTTGCTATTACAAAAACGTGTTGTTGTCCAAAGAACTGGACGATGATTGTAGTATATTGAGAAGGGAATTTTTTAGACTGTTGAACGGCGTACGTTAGAGCTTTTCACTTACAGAAAGGCCAGGGTTACATTTTAAACATGAAGAAATACGCGCTGTCAAAACATTGTTTCATCAACTATAGAAATGAAAATAGTAATGAAGTTTGTTTTTTTTTTAAGGTAGGCATAATATGTTTTCAGTTAAACTAACTACCCATCTAAAGAGATGGAAGAAATTTTGGCTATTTGTAAGCTCATAGAGGAGGTGTCCCGCATATGCGTCTCACTTTACGTATAAGTTTAAACTTTACAAAAAATTGCATGTAACACCACTGCTTATAATTATTGCTGTATTTTGTTTCCTTTTTTGTGGCTTTAATCTAAGTAGTGTAAATCGAAATTTATTTGGATACTTTGTGTTTTGTAGTTCTGTAGTGTTTTTTGAGTAATTTGTAGTTTTTTGTATTTACTCTTCGATTACAAAAAATAACATAATTTCAGTTCTTTTATTTACCTTGCACTATGGTTAATCTACCTAGTACTATAGTAAAAATTTTATCCTTAGTTTAAATTTTATTTCCCTTTGTTTTGGGCATGATTATGTATGATAATGAGTTTAAAACAAACGGAAATAAAATTTAAACCAAAGATAAAATTGCACCACAACCAGAAACCCACAAACCAGAAACCCATAAGGGGTTTGTGACACAACAGAACAGAGATGTACTTTCACCGCGCTCTAAAGGACCAAAAAAGCGTGCAAGTTAACTTACACAAGTAAATGTTTTATCTGGATCTATAAGTAGCATTCTTTGTCAGCTAACTTTTCATGTTTTCATTCGCATGAAAACCCAATCTACATTTAGGATGAAAGAAGTAGATTCATCACTCTTGGTAAGGTTACACCGAAGCATTAAAGGTACACTGAAGCATTCAAAATAGCTCATGCACGTTTAACGTGCCTATGTTTTATTTCTCGCTCTCGCTCTTTCCCTGTAATTCACGTTAATTTAGAGAGATAATAAGATTGAGGTTTTTCCGCATTCCCCGGGAACAGCGAACGTTAAGAAGTCACGTGACTAGGGCCTTGCCGTCAGGTTTGCGGTTTGTACGGCTAGACCACGCAAGAGCGGTAAGTGATTTACCGCAAAGTTTTTCGCACCCTAAAACACCACAATCCCACGTTTGAGACAAAGTATAACTTTTTAGAACTCTTTTGCTTATTGATTATCGAATTCTATTTTAAAAAACGTAATTTTCAAGACGGTTTCTCAGCTAAAATAGGAGTAAGTGGATAAATGAAAGCAAACATGGCAGCCGCGAACTACTACCCGCGAATCGTAACTCTTAAATATGGGCAGACGGGTAAGTTGAAACCGTTAACAGCAAACCACAGTTTGTCGTTTGCAGTAAAATGACCAAACCTTGATCTTAAGGTCTCTAATGAGCATCGCATTTGCGGCAACCGGCAAACGTGAATTATTACCACGTGACCAAGTTTTCCATTTAACTGTCGTTTACTGTTCATTATAACTATACAAAAATCGGGAAATTCGTGCCAATTTTATCCATAACAATTGTTTTAAATTGTTTTTATCTGCTCATTTCTCAGTTTGAAAATTTCTCAATTTGAATATCACGTTTGCTGTTTGCCGTAGACGTGATGCTTAATTCCTCCAATGTAGACATAAAATTTAGTCGAAGACTCAGCTTTGTTCTAGTTTATTCTGTCTCAAAGTCCTGGTGGCCATGCGATTTACTGCCGAAACGCTCGCGCTGCGTGAAATGCAAAATTTCACCCCAGCTTACATGAGGGGGTGGACGTACGTAAATACGGACGATTTTGTCATAACCCAAATTTCTTGGATGCATAGATAACCAGATTTTCTTACCCATGGTGCTCCGCTGCGCGCGAGAGAACTCCGCTATAATTTCGCAGGGAGCACTCGTAGAACTTAAATCTTAAATATCAGTGCTGTGTAAAAATAGAACGCAAACACTTCATTTCTAAGGTTTATACTACGTTTATGAAGCGCATATTGCATCACATACTTTAATTAATAACAATAATACTAATAACAATTTATTAAAACTCTCTTGCAGAAAAGAAAACTGAGTTAACGCACGAGTTAAATTACTTTGTACCACAATAAAAGTTAATCATACAAGTGAAAGTGTCGAAATGTAAAAACGTTATCTACCATCTTTGTCCCACAGGTAAAAGAGTTATCAAACAAACAGAATTTGTCTGCGTTCGTACTCGGGCTGATTAATGAGTGGTCTCGGCAATAGAAAGTGTAAAGGATGGTCTTTAGGCTTCATCTTATTCTTGTGTACTTAATACACAATTAATTCCCTGAGTAATTTTAAACTTAAACTGGATTCAACAAAAGTTGCATGTACACGGTGAGCCTGGTAATTCATTAGTAGTATAGGGAACTACGAATGATCCCAATTTAGGAAAACGGATCTGATTCTCCAATCGTGTTACTGTTAAGCACGTGCCCACATTTACATGCACTTGTTACATGGTCTAGAACGTTATAATCTTTCCAGTTCGCCTTTAAAAGAGAAATGATTAAGTTTCATCGCATCTGTTTATTCTGTGGGGTTCAAGAGTCCTGCTCTTAGAAATTCAAAATTCTTCTATAGATTTCATAGGTAGCTGTCTCTGTTTAAGTTCTTAAGGAACGAGTAGTAACATTTCTTTCTTGAAAATACCCTAGAATAGTAAGGTCTTCATTTCAAGAACGATAGTAAAAGATTTGTACAACAAATCAATATTTTGTGGTCCCTGAAATGCAACGTAATCTAACTATTGTTCGTTATCCAGAAATTAGGGTGCTAATTGAAGCTTTACAAGATTTTCTAGAACAACAACGATTAGATAAGATATCCTATCAAGTCTTTCTGTACTGACGATTATGTGTATCAATATCAATCTCCATATGTATAATTTTACATTTGAATTCCAAAATTAGATAAATAAAGTACGTAAAGTAAATTTGTTTTCATGGAGAGGTTTTCGCCTCTTGCCAAAGCTAAAAACATATGTTGTTACTTCTTCATTAAATCTTTCCCTGGTGTAATTTATAAACTACTAACACGCCGAAAAAAACCTCGACCACTTGACGGGAGAAACGGTACACTATCCTATCTACAAGATCTACTACTCATAATGATTAATCAGTCGAAAGCTCCTGACAATTAACCATGCAAACGCTAATGTCGAGTCATGGAAATTCACAAAACGTTTAAGAAGTAAGCTTGCAACTACGCACTTAAACATTTGGAAAATGTCTGAACAACATTTTCCACACCTTCTGTGTTACGAAAAGCTATGTAAGATCAAGCATAAGTGATCAAATACTCCGGGTAGGACTGGCCATTTTCAAAGACAACAAACAGAGAGGGGTTGGTTTTATTATCACAGCAGGAGTCAAACAGAACGTGAGGGTTTGTGGGGTCTTTGGGTGGTGGACGAGTCAGTGAGCTATTACCACTGGTGTAAGAACCTACCAGTACTCTAGCCAAAAACATGTGCTTGTGAGAACTAGATATAAACTGATTTCCAGTGTACCCATGCGAGTAGCTGGCCTTGCAAGCAAAATAACTTCCTTTCCCATAGACCGTCCCATGCTTGCCGCATACCCGCCAGTCAAAGCCCTGCTGGCAGATGGCCTCAACAGTGTCAGCTTTGGTCCCATGGAACAATTGACGCTCTTCGGGGTCTTTTCCGGCTTTTTTGGCCATGCGGCTCCTCTTCCTAAAAAAGGAGAAGGAATCAGTAAACCAAATAACTAACGCTCTAAAGACGCGTGCAGGACTTTAAGACGGAATCCATCAGAAAATTGAGTAATTTCAATTTTCAGCGGACAAAAACGTTGTACCAGAATAATTACATAATATCGCATTTTTCAAGGGCTAAAGATATAATTAGTTAACTGTAATAACACCAGAGAAAATTTCTGGTAGGACCCGGAGAAAATGAAAGTCAAATTTCACAGAATTACATCTGACACATGAAATTTTCAGAATTTTACCTGTGTCATCACAATTCTTGTGAAATTTGACATTCATTTTCTCGGACTTCCATTAGAAATTTTCTTTGGTGTTACTACAGATGACTTATTACCGCTGGTAGAAGACTTTTGTCCAGTGAAAATTAAAATTACTCAATTTCCTGGTGGATTCCGTCTTAAATTTTGAGCACGCAAACAAATGAGCTAATACTTACAAATGAACAGAAGTCCAAACGCAAACTCGCCCTTAGCAAGTTAAGAACCCTAGTTTTAACGCGTCATAATCAAAAGAAGGGATTCTACAACTGAGCGGCCCTAGTCAGCTTAAGAGAAACACCATTAAAACGTTTTTAAAAGAATTTAAGCAAGTCTTTGCGAGCTACTACAAAAAGTTGGATACGTTCTTACTGAGTGTAAAAAGTCCATAAATCGGGGTTCTGCACTCGCTCAATCTTGATTATCTTGGGAGAAAAATCCATTGTTTCTTGGAACTTTTTCTCTACTCTCTTGTATTCGTCGGATGTTATGTCCAGTTTTACACAAAGGTAGTCTTCACCATCAGGGATGGGGTTCCAGTGAGATGGTAAAGCATCAGGCTCTGATAATGATGCTGACGTTATTCCTAATTGGGCTAAGGAAGCTGTTCTGCGCCTGAGTGAAATTTGAGGAAAAAAGTTCCATAAAATGACTTAAAATCTACTACTGACAGTTGGGTGACATTAACTGGTAGAAACCCTAGTGAGCTTTGCTGTTTCCGAATGTGTTAGAGGGAGGACAATGGTGGTGCAGTGGCAAGAGGATCATAAACTCTCAGTGTCACCTAAACAAATACCTACAGAGGCTATTGTATCTAGCGTTGAGGCCGTTCTGTCTCGTCAACACGAGCTATCAAAATCGATCAAGGATAACATCAGAAGTAGAATGACCTCTACTTTGCAATTTGCAATGAAACGACTGAAAACCGACGAGAACATAGTCATACTACCCTCAGAAAAGGGACAGGTGTCTGTTGTTTTGAACATGACAGACTACAACGACTAAATGGACGCCCTTGTTAACAACAAACAGACCTACGAAGTACTTAAACGAGACCCGACGCCCGCACTGCAACGCAAACTTAACAACATACTGCTTACACTGTCGAAGAAAACCAACAGGATCGACTTTCGACGCTACAACAGACTGAGGTTTAGTGTTCCGCAGCCACCCAAGCTGTATAGACTACCAAAACTACACAAACCCAACATACCTATGCGGCCCATAGTTTCTTTCTCTGGGTACCCGACTTACGAACAGTCTTAAATAAATACTTAACCACCAAGCTAAAATCTCTGACGGACAAATCTGGACATAAACTACAGTATACTGGGAACTTTATTGACGTCAAACAGTTACATGGTACAGCTATGGGCTGTCAAGTGTCTGTTGTAACAGAACTTGTAATGCAAAACATCGAGGAACAACCCTAGCTACTTACACGCGAGCTATACCTCTTTGGTTACGCTACGTTGATGACACATTCACCGCTGGCACAAAGACGAAATCGACAATTTTCAGACAGAACGCGGACATACAGTTTACCAAGGAGATCGAGGAGAATGAAAAAATACCTTTTCTAGCCTGCTTCGTCACTCGCGGCAACAACGGTGACTACGGAAAAGCGACACATACCGACCGATTACGAGAAAAGTCATCGTACAACCCGACCTCTCACAAGGCTTCAACTCTACGCACTTTAACGAGACGAGCGCAACTTGTGCGAGTAGCCTGACAGCTTACAAGACGTGACTGATAAATAGAACTACGACACGGACTTTGTTAGACGGAACACTCACAGTAACACTACTACTGATTCCAACATCCAAACCAACGTCAACTCTGGCCCTGTTACGACAGCGACTATACCGTACATCAGAGGCACCTGTGAAACTATTGCACGTATATTACAACCTTACAATATACATATTGCACAGAAACCAATAACCACTTTACGACGACTACTTACTAATGTCAAGCACAAAGACAAACTGGAGGACAGACAGGGAGCGGTATACAAGGTCAAATGCTACGACTGCCAGGCTACTTACATTGGCGGCACTGGTGAAAAGTTTTGCTTCTGGTTTCAGGTGTGGCGCATACGAAGGGAAGGTGCCTTTTACGAGTTATTATGACAGGGGCGTGGCCAGCCCATAGGCTTGGTCCTACAAATTTTTGGTTTAATCACTGTACCGCTTGTAATAAATTACCGTCTAACCTCTCCTTACGGACACCTCTCAATTACGGACAGTTCGTTTGGGTCCAGAAATGCCAAAAATCACACATTCCCTACCTCTATAATACGGACACCTCTGTAAAGCGGACACTTGGTTCTGTCTCTTTGGTGTCCGTATTAAAGAGTTTTGACTGTATGCCTTGTTGGTGTGAGCTAAGAACCTTAAGAGATCAAAGAGTGGTTGAGCATGTTAGTGTTGAAAAGAAATAAACACTAACTAATGAGAAATACCTTTGTGCAATGATCTCGTTCATATTCTGTTTGGTCACAAACTCAGAAGGCCTCCTTCTAACAGGTCTTTTTGTTTTATTACCATCATTTTGTTGGTACCATCCTTTGAAGTACAGAGTATATTGTCTGTGAGATACGCTGAACGAATGAGAGTCCTTTTCTGAAAATAAAATTCATTACGATTGAGTTAATGCAGTTTCATTCATTTTATTGTTTGAAACAATGGTTCGAGATAAAAAAAGAGAAATAAAACAAGCAAATAGATGGCTACCCGTTTAAAGAAAGAAACGGTTGAAACCTGAGTTGATTTTCAACTAAACTTTATTCAATGCCTCTTGAAGAAAAATTGCAGAAGAGTAGACCTTTGAATTGTGGGTACTTGCTTCGTACGTTAAAACTCTATATATCCACTCCGGTTAATGGCTAGCATGTCTACCCGTGAGAATCAAGCCAACAAAGAAAGTCTCGTATCTTTCTGAGTTATGCTCTTACGCATCTTATGCATCTCCCTGAAGGCCTCTTTTAGCTTGGTCTCTAACAGCATCTAACATTTGCCATCAGGAATTTTAAGGATGGTTTCCATAGGTTTCTTTAGAGTTTATGATCGCAACCGGACATTACATGGCATAAACTCTAACGATCCAGGTCACCGTTGCAAAAACGATTGCTGAAATAGACCGCGATTTTATTTTGAGAGGTACTCGCTACGATACTAGCGACCACTCGGAAACCAAAAAAGTTCTAGTTTGTAACTTATAAAGTTTATTAATTCTTTGTGGCGCAGATTTAGCGCGTGTCCTCACACTTTCTAGACGATTCAGCACACAGTTCTCAGAATTGACAGAGTTGTTCAGAAAGATTTCATGATCATTTGAAAGTGGGGAAGGGATGCACCTGTCAGCTGGTATACAAGCAGTCAGTTGACTCGACTTAAAGCGATTCAATTCTACCAAAGGGGAAGGATGAAGTATTGTTTTCTAACCTGCCATGTATTCCCTCTCAAGACACTGGCTGCTGGTGGTGCTGGCTGCATGTCCATCAGATGGTGTGTCATATGACTGCCACTTGTTGTTTTCATCCTGCCAGAACCAATCCCACCTAGTACTAAAAACATGGCCTGCTGCTGCAACCACCGATGATACAGTAGACAGTCGTTGAATCTTTGGATTTGTGCAGTTCAAAGCGGACATACCAGACGATGTTCCTTAATTAATTGTTATATATAAGCAAGTTAATTTACAAAACTATTAAATTTTTAAAAGCTAAAAACTAAAACTACCTATAATATTTATCAGCCTGCGAGGGTAGATGCCATTTCCCGGATTTTGTCGTACTCGCTGAGGAAAAGACCACTTAAATCCCGCCTTTTGCAATAACTTTTGTATCAAAATTCAAAGAGTTTCTGCACCTCATACTTTTAATAAACGGAGATTAATTGCGGGAAACTGCAACATAAATGTGGTGTTCCTTTGTGCGACTTAATTCAAAAGTAAATTAATAGTAGACAGGCTAAAAAAGAAACAAAAGCTGTTTACGATTAACAAAGAAACAAGATATTACACGAGAATGTAAAAATGAGGTCCATTTTGTAGATCGTGTATGTACGGAAAGAGCGCATTCTACAATAAACCGGTTAACCCAAGGAAACCTTTTTAGGTTAGGATTTGCAATGTTATCGCTTCTTTACTTCGTGGACTTCCGTTCCAAGTCTTATCTTAGTTAAACCTAGCTCTGATTACTGTGCACCTGAATTATGCCAGACGGCCGCTCGATATTTTGAAGGTTCTTTCTATGTCGGACGGACGAATTGGACGCCGTAAACAAGTTAAACGAGCGAAATAGTGCTTGGTGGGACAATTTTGTCATTGAAACAGTTATTGAAGAAGATTGGCGATAAAATTTTTGCATGAGCCCAAGATCGCTTTACAAATTAGCTGACGAACTGCGAGTGACTCCGGATACGCGTGGACCACCAAATTCGATTTGAATACGGATACATGTAGACGTGAAAATTTTTCAATCCACAAAGAAAAATTTGCAGTTACAAAAATATTCGGATTTGTGTGGACGGGGCCTTAGAAAGCGAATTCGTATTCTTTTAATATTCATCGCGATAACTCCAACTCACTCGCTTTGTCAAATTTAGGCGAACTTTCCCGCAGGTAAATTCCCAAGCACCATATCCAAACTCAAAAAGAGAAGAAAAATCCGTCGTCGCTTACGTCCTCCATAAAACGTGCAGCACGTGCAACGTTCTTGTCTTGCTTTATTAAATCTACTGCCTTTTTGACGTTTGCGTTGCCGTCGCCGTCGTTGGATGAAAACGTCGCTGCAAAATAAACTTTGTACTATAGAGTCAACCAAAAAAGGGGAAATTAGGTTGGAACTGAAGAGAGGGAATCGCGTCCGAGTTCAGAAAGAGATAGCGTAATGTATCGGTTTGCAAAGATTTTCCAAGTTTTAACCGTCGAAGAAATGGATAAAGAAAGTGAACCCAAAACTTATTTAGGTCATCCCAATAAAATGTTTCGTTTCCCATCGCCCCGTCTCTTATGGTGGTGGGTCGGTCGGTCAGGAAAAAAAAACAACAAAAGAATGAACACTTTTACTTTTGTATATTAAATCTCCCGTTTAATCGGTAAGATAAATAATCAGATGGTAAAAGATGTATATTAACACGACTATCAAATGTCTAAACAGCCTTTAAAAACGTAGTATCGATGTTAATTAAAGACAAGGACATCACATCATACCAATTGTTCTTAAAACAAGATCGTGTGCTTGTAAAGCAAAGTAGTTGCTTCTTTGACCAGTGAATCTGGATTTTTTTTTCACTTTTCGAAAAAAATGGGTCGGTCGGGCGATGGGAAACGAAACATTTTGTACTCTATTGGGATGGCCTTAAGGCCTTTTAAAATCGTGTCTGCGCTAGCGCGCGCGCACTTCAAAAGATCTTAACAGTGTGCAAATCATAGCGCGCATTGTATCTATTGTTGCTATTTTATAATAAATACTTAATAACCGGTCGCTAGGGAAACAGTTAATTTTGTTTTCCTCGAATCTCGATTTTCGGCTTTATTGACCAAGCTTGTCCGTTCAAGATGGTTTGAAATTAGCCTCGTTATTTTTTGCCTTTTTATTGAGCTCGACTTAAAAATCATAAAACAGAACTTGGCCAATATCCAGCCATATTTGTGTGAATGATGTTGTAATTGAAACTAAAGATAATATCATACTTCTAGGAGTAGTGTTAGATTCTAAGCTAAATTTCTCTGAGCATATAATATCTATCTGTAAAAAAGCCAGCCAGAGAATTGGTGTTCTAATGAGACTACGTAATCTAATTCCTATGAAATCTAAGTTAATATTATTCAAAAGCGCGATATTACCATTCCTCACCTACTGTCACCTAGTGTGGCATTTTTGCAAAGCGAGTGACACTCGAAAGCTTGAAAGACTATAAGAAAGAGGACTTAGAGCGGTTTTCAAGGATAATAATTCTAGTTATGAACAACTATTAGAGAAGGCAGACCTGCCCACACTACTAAATAGTCGCTTACAGGATCTGTGCATCCTTATGTATAAAGTAAAGCATAAACTGTGCCGTGCATATATAAGTAACATCTTTAAAGAACCAAATACTAATTACAATCTGAGGCAAGCAGATTTCTCTATACCTAGGTATGAGACAGTCACCTACGGCAAGCACTCTATTAGATATCTAGGGCCTAGGCTATGGACAAAACTACCCAAGAGTATTAGGGACGTCACAACCCTAATGTCGTTTAAAAGCAAGATACGCCAACTCAATATAAGTGAACTTTTAGATGATGGCTGCGCAGGCTGTAGCCTTTGTTCATCTTGACTTCTGTATATTTTTACTATAAATCTCGTAATTAGATAACTATAGATATGTTACCTACTACGGTATATAGTTTTTACTTTGTATATTCTCCCCTAATTGGTGTCGCCAAATTAGTAAGGGATTCTTTTTTCCCTGGCTAGACGGCTTTGACACTTTAATAAAGTTTCTATCTATCTATCTATCTATCTATCTATCTATCTTGGCCTTACGCTTTGCCAAGAACGTAACGTATTTATTCGAATCCTTATAATTTGAATTTATAATTTGGCTTCGAAGAGCCTGTTGTGAGTCTGCGACCCCTGTGGAGAAGGCTGTCTTAATGCACATTCGTCGATAGTCCCAGAAAATCAAAATCCATCTCTCTCGACATGTCTTAAAGGCGTCGGACTATATGCGTCGGTTGATGAACTTGTCTTTTCAACCTTTTGCAGTGTTTTCGTCCGTTATCTTAGCCTTAGCAAGAACTGAACTTGCTTCCATACATCAGGCGAATGCGTTTGAGGCTTAAGGTGAAAATTGATTTGCATAATGCTTTTATGTTTGTAGAGTAACTTCCCTTCCTTTCAATACCATTTTCAAAAAATGCAGTAAAAGTATATCCGTTCTAGCATGAATCAATCATCAGAAACATTTCTTTGAAATATGCCAATTTTGGCGTTAACTGAATTCAAGAACACTTCCATTCATCCACCTTTGTGAAAACTTTGTAATGAATATATATTTTAATGGACAAAAATCTTCCATGCGTGCACTTTAATAAAAGTTGAGATAATAACAAAGTTACGTAGCCTTGCATCCTTTCTCCTTATGAAGCAAAACATTCAATCCAATTGTTGTGTCTCATCCACGATACTAGTTTCTATTCAACATATTTCAGAGGAGGTAGGAGTACTGTGAGTGAAAGAGAATTAGAGCTTTGGTACTCTTCTTCAATTCCCGTTCTAGAAGAGGGCCAATGACTGTCTGATGATGCGCCATAATTTGATCTCAATGAACTAGACGTGTTTATGATGGAAAAGGTGTTAGGACAGAAAAAAATTTAAAACGCGAGGCCTTACCGAGGGCTTAAAAAACTGATTAAAGAAAGGATCAGATGGCCGAAAGAGCCGATGAGACTGTGGCATATTTGGGGGTGTGTTCGAGCAACTCGCTCGCTACACAACAGATGATTTTAATACGGTGGAAGTGTTCCTTATTAAACTTTAGCAAAAGCGGTACTCACTTGCATGTGGTAAAACTGGTACAGCAGTCATGTCAGTAAATTGGACACGACAAAGAATACCTCTGATCATGACTGTGCATTCGCCATTGTGAACATCACAGTAAGAATGTTCCAGCATTGTATTCACATCACACGAAAAACACTCCCAGTTGTCACCATCTACAGCAAATTCCCACAGGTATGGTAGCTCTGTGTGACGATGGATACAGCTGTTTCCATACTTACACTTGTTACATAGATTGAATCCACAAATCTCAGTGTCATCCTTTCCTTTTTCATCTTTTGGTTTGGCGGAAGGAATGCTGGTATTTGCAGCTTCGCGTACAAATTTATATTTAACAGGAATCTGCACATCAAAACGTCCGCTGCTCGGACGTTTTCTTTCTCTATTTTTCAAACGCTGAAGCACTTGAAGCTCACCGATCCTATCCATGTCATATTCTTCAAGCACTTTTCTGTTTTGCGGGTCAGAAAAATAATGCTTCCGTTTACATCCACTGCCGAACTTACAATCTCCATCAATGTAATGTTGACACACGTGTAAACAGTGACAATTGTCCTCTTTCTTACAAGTGCCTTTGTTATAAAACTTGCAGATATCTGGAACAGATCGCTTGGCAGCAGCTCGTTGTAGTTTACTCTCGTCTAGGGTCATTTTCAAAATTTCTTGCAGAAGGGACGAAGAAGACGTATGTAAGAACCGAAGGTGGAAGTGTTCAAGAACGCGAACGGTATGTTCATCACCACAATTATGGGATCTTTTACACTTTAAACCAAACTTGCAGTTTCCCTTGATAAAGAAGGGACATAAGTGAAGACGAGTACATTCTTTCGAAACACATCCACCACTCTCTCCCGCCTCGATACAAAACTGTAGGGGAACACTCAATTTTACCATTACTTTTGGTTTGGGTTTTCCCACTTCTTTGCATAGTTTATAATTAAAGAGCTCCGGATAGCGTTTCACGAATTCTAGTTTTCCAACATCCGACACCAAACGACGGTTTTGTGAAGAAAGTTGCTTTACTACATCCCCGAGTTCAAACTCTCCACCATTTTTTAAGAGAATTTCTAAAAAATCTTCCAGCGCTCGTCTGGGAGTGCTTTCATTCGCCATGTTTGGCACCACTTCGTCACCCGAATCTTCTTCATGTAATTCATCTTGTTGTGTGACTTTTGGATGCACAATTTTTCGTCAAAAGGGACGAGGTCGAATAAGCCACTTGCACTAAGAGGTCACGTGACCAATGCTTCCTTTAAACAATGAGTTGGAATCTTGCTGATGCCAAAAATTGACAGAGCACATAAAAATTATCTTACACCCGAAATTTGAGAGGAAACGCATTTAAAGGAGATATTTTATGGCACTTTGATTTTTCAACAAAGTAGTATCATTTGTATTGGCGGCCATGTTGGAGGGCATATTCTTGCCCTCCAACATGGCGGCTAAAACTACTTTTTGCTTAGATCTTGTTAACGTTTGATAGTTACGCTCAGATGTGCTGTAAACATTCTTACATCAACTTTTCAACACTTTCCTTGAAGTTTAAGTGCAAAATTGGTGTTCAGAAAGAGGTAATTCATAATTTTAAAAATAACAGTTTGGTCACGTGACCAGCTACGAACTCACTCATTTGAAGAAAATGGTACAGGTTTGAAAAACCAAATCACTATTATTTTGCTAAAAATAGGACCCACTAATCGTTTTTTGAAGAAAAAATCATGTAACTTTCATTTTCACAAAAAGATGTCACATGACCTCTTAGTGCAAATGGCCTATTNCATAATTTTAAAAATAACAGTTTGGTCACGTGACCAGCTACGAACTCACTCATTTGAAGAAAATGGTACAGGTTTGAAAAACCAAATCACTATTATTTTGCTAAAAATAGGACCCACTAATCGTTTTTTGAAGAAAAAATCATGTAACTTTCATTTTCACAAAAAGATGTCACATGACCTCTTAGTGCAAATGGCCTATTGAAGAGCTTTTTCCCTGTCTTACCCCGGTACCACGAAGAAAAGGGAGCATTTAGAAATTAAGTTTTTTCCCGAAATTTCAGACATTCAATCTTCCAGGCCCAAGAAAATTCCTATTTTCTGACGTGTAGGCCGTAACATTAGTTTGCGTGGTTGGAACTTTAGGACTTTAGGACTCCCGTGATTCCACGCTATTTATAACAGCAAAAGTTGCTGGAAATTCGATGAAGATCTCAATTTCGCCGCCATAGGCACTGAAATACTGTGCAGGGTCCTAAAAGTCTCCTTCCAGCTGAAAGGACACTTTTAGGACCCTTTTAAAAAAATCACGAAGACTAAATGCACGGAAGTTAAAAATTTTATGGAATTTCTACGAAGTCTTTTGTGCTATTCTCTCTCACTGGAGCTTGCAAATTAGTAAATCTAGATGCACTTGGAACCTACTCAGCCTGAGAAAACAGCCGACATTTTGCGACGCTACCACTGGTTTCCTCGCGAAATGAAGTCTGAGGAACAAGCGCAGAAATTCCATACTGATGACGTGTCACTACCCAGATTTGGGTAGTGCTTCTGATTGGTTGTAGTAACATTCCCCCGCATCACGACCAGTCAGAAGCACTACCAAGATCTGAGTAGTAAAACGTCATCAGTTTGGAATTTCTGCTTACTTTTCGCGGGGAAACCAGTGGTCGCGTCGCAAAGTGTCGGCTGTTTTCTCAGGCTACCCCGAAAAACACGAAATTCGTATTTGGCTCACCGTTAAAAAAACATAAACTTTTATGGAGGTAGCGTGGCCGAGTGGTCAGCACGTCGGACTCGCAATCCGCGGCGGGCCAGGGTTCGAGTCCTGCTCTGGCCACTTGCTGGATTTGTTCTCGGTCGTCCCGAGCCACGCTTGTAAATAGCCAACTAGTTGCCTCCTGCCAGTTGGGGTTCTTAATCCTGTTATGTTGTATTTGAATTATTAGAGATCTGTAGATTCGAGGACGAGAGCGACTAAGAGTACGAGATTTGATTTAAAGAGTCTTTTCGCGTATTGTCAAAAAAAAGCACCCTGGAATTCTTCATTGTACTTTTTTTTTTCACCAGAAAAGTTAGCACTGTTATCGTTATTGAAGGAGGTTAAGACTGCAAAATGCTAAAACTCCTAACATTTGATAACTTGTTTCCGCCACTGCGACACCCTCGCTAAAACTCGTAGTAGAATGACGCCGGTTACTACGTTTTCCCGCCAAAATGACGCTGCCGTACGCGCGAGCAGTACTAACTATTGAGAAAATCTCGTACTCGTAGTCGTTCTGCTCTAATTTGTTTCTAAGTATTTGAGTGGAGTGCCTGTAAACTAGCTTGATAAGCTAAGTGCATCTTCCACTATAGAAAAAAGCCTTTAAACCTTTTTAAACCTGGCCCCGGTTGCTCAAAAGCTGGGTAGCGCTATCCACCGGATGAATCGCTATCCCGGTGATACGTATTTGGGAAACCAATTGCGTTATCCACTGGATAGAGATTTATCCTTTTAAACAACCAGGGACCTGACCCCATTTAGGAGGATTACCACACCTTGCAACGTTCACATCACAAAGACATATAGACATCACATATAAGGAGGGCATGTACCAGACTAGAGTTGCCCTTTCCGGAAGACCGGACAACCCACTCGGGAGGGTTAACCCACCTATCATGCAAACATTATCGAGAGAAAATGAAAGATCATGAAACCAGTCCTGGGCTATCCTTTCCTAGTCCCTAGGCCTCATTACTACCCGCGGCCCATGGGTTTCGGGTCACGTGGTCTGAGCGAGGCCGTTCGTCTCGGACACATCACCGCAAAGCATTGACCGAGAAGGCCTAGAAACACGCCGTACAGGTACTAAGCAAGGGTTATCCCAACTCCCCAAAGAGCCCTTCCTTCATACAAACGGGCCCTACGTAATAAGGTTAATAATGAATCAACGTGCCAAAATGATTACAAATTTTATTGACTTTTAATTGTCATTTACAGGATAACAGCTGAAAAGCTTAAATAAGACATGAGGACGGTTTCTTTTACATGCAACTTAAGGAACAAGAAAATCCCATTCAACTGTTTTCAGGGCTAACGCTGGGCTTCAGCTTGTACTAAGTTGTCGACAACTTGCATAAAGACTTGGTAAAAACTGATTTTCGATAACTTGAACACTACCATGATTGTGATAGATAACTAGAATACCTTTACTTTTGAAAAGGAAAAACTGTTTAGTTGCCGTCAGGTGAAACTTTGGACTGTTTTTTACCTGCAACTTGCTTTGCACGCTAAGAAAATTCTGTAATCTGCCGTTGCCCAAAAATTCCAAACTGATAGCGAATCCTAGTAGCAATACAGAGAAAATTAAAAGACGTGTTTGTTTTCTCCTCTCTTTGTACCCTGTAACCTTAATCGTATGCAAATTGAACATGACCCCGTCGCAAGTGTGAGTGACTGTATGGACAAAAAGAGTTGTCTTGCTTCAGTCTAAAATTATCTGTAAAAAACCGCTTTACAAAGTTCAATCTAAAATGGATTTACCCCAGATATCCCACTATTGACTAAGACTAGAACTAAATTAGGTAAATTATTTATTTGCGTTGACATAAATGACCTAGTTGTTTCTCTGTTGTGCCAACTTAATGCCTTCTATTTTTCTTCTATTTTTTTAATGGGAAATAACACTACTCTCAGCTCAA